CGTGCCTTGGTTATGGCAATGGACACCGGCTTGATCGACCATTTTAGTGAGTTGGGGTACGTTGGACGTTTGACCGCGTCCAAAAGTCATGATCTAATGAACTGCGCACCGGTGCTCAATAGATTGTGGTTTTCACGTACCGTCCCGCTGTCTTACTGTTTAGGCTTTGGTTACCCGAAGACTTAGGTTGTGCATTCCGCGAGAAAATTCACCTCGGCAAAAGGACAATAATCGACCCACTATCAAATCGTGAACTTTTTCTTCCTTATAAAAATTGTTGTACCGTGGTTCATTCGGCACACAACCATGCCTGTGAAATGCATTATACTAATATATATGTTTATCGGAGTTGGAAGATCTAGCCCTAACCTAACGATCCATATCGAATCCACTGTGCACTGAAGTGTACTATGCACCGCGGTCGCCATTCATAATAAATTTGTCGAGATTAAATAAATACTACCTTTTGTATTCCCAGCTTCTCTGCTCCGTAGCTATGCATGTGTGGCCCTTTGATTAAAAAATCGGTTGCAATTTCGGGAAATTAGCGTGCTCCAAAAATAACCTCTGATGCTGGTTACGATGGGCCAACTTTTGTTTAGTCTATATAATAGGACATGTTAGAGTAGCTTTGATCGTCGTTACTGTTTTCAAACAGCTTTTTGTCAAGAGATTCTCCGTCCTCGCTTTTAACAAAGCTTTCAACTTGGTCCATAGTATTCATAGCCGTTGATGAGTCTGACTACTGTGCGTTAGCAGCCTAAAACGATTCTGAGTTTATAGCAGTGATTCATTAAACTTCACCAGGAGTGTTCTCTTTCTTCTTTCTCCGACGACTTCGTAACTTATAAAATATCCAATTTTTTCCACCGGGCATAATGTAATAAACCTCCTTGTGAGTGGTAATCTGTGTACTGTTGATCAAAAACGCATGTGAATTGATAATTTTTCTGGACAGTTACATAAATAGCGTAGTCACCACCGGTATAGATTTTGTACAGTGAAATGTGAAATGCGTTCGTCGGATTGGGTTGACTCTGGTCCCAGTCTTGTGACGTAAACAATAAACTTTTTTTTAATTACATGATGTGAATTACAATCAAGGGGGAAATCACCTTGGACAAATAGCTTACTGTAAAAGGAAGAGTAGGGGAACATTCATGTAAGATCCAGTTTATTGATTCTGCGTTTCAAAAGTGTTAGATTGTACGTTGGGGGAAAAACAGCCGGAGGGAGACTGTTCCACAGTTTGGCAGTTCGGGGGATAAAAGAAGATTAGAGCAGAGAGGTACGACATCTGAGAAGAGAAACCTGATAAGGATG